TAAAATAAATTTTATATCCTTATATATAAACTTTTTCTCAAATAATGTCTTAATAATAGTTTCACTCTTCATATTAAAAATTTCAAATTTAAATATTGAAATGAATAAAAAAGAGATTGAAAAAGGGATATCCATGCTCTATTGTATAGCAATCGTATTAAGAAAAAAAAAATACTCTTTATAATTGAGCCATGTAGCATTAAAGTTATAAATTCGTGATTTATAATGGAGGTAAAGGTAAAATGTTCAAAATTGAAATTATTTGCCACCAGATCTTATAAGAAAGGGAGTGAAAAAGGAAAAAGTGCAAAAGAAAGTGGTGAACCATATTGATATAATTTCTCAAGTGAACATATGAGACAATGGTCTTTTTAATAAACCTTACATTTAAAGAACATACTACAAACGTTATCAATTATAGGATTTGACTTTATTTTTTTCTTTCTTTTTCTTTTCCCACTTACCAATCAGAGAATTACAATTTTAATTAATGTTGTTCTGAGAATGGAGGGTGCAGAGTCTATACAACTCAATCTAGGTGTATCACATGGCAGAAATTGATTGTTAGAACCAACCTAAACTAATACTGTATATCAATCGCTCTAGACCCCTTATTATTATTAGAGGATGCAAAAAAAGAAAAAAAGAAAAAAGATGATCTAACATTAAAAATGTTAAGATATTTAATTAAAATTACATAATAAGCAAGATATAATGTAGGTCTCATTTAATTCATAGTTGAAATTGAATATTTTAATATTTTAACAAGACGTCTTAATTTTTTTTTTTCGATGTTATTATTATTATTATTAAAGTGAGAGGAAAATGTCATTGCCTATAATCTAACCACGGATAAACGAAACTCCAAGACTTAAAATTTGGGTGGTGAACCTTTAGGCCAAGGAAGCTTTTTCTAGGCCCCTCATTGAAAAGCACTGTTATATTAAAAACTATATATCAGGAGGAAAAAGGGAGGAAATTAGCCTCCTCTTCTGCAATAATTCAAGGCCCAGATTTTGCTAGGAGTTCATTTGCATGTGATGATCCGAACATTGTTGGAAAGAATCATGCAAGAATACCTGTAAGTCCTGTGTTTTGGTGTCCATATATGTATAGAAATAAGACTCTAGCGTTTAATCTCTTAATAAAATTTGAAGGCTTTTATAATGATCTATTTGGTTAAAGTCGGATTATTTATCCCAATTTAGAGGCTACTGCATTCATTAACTTGTATTTGTTGTATTTTGGTAATAATATAATTATAATATCATGTAAAATTTTATACATTTATAAGTATTATTAAATAAATGTATATATAATATTATAAATGAATTTTAAATATAATTATTAATCATATATCAATAATAATATTATATTTATAATATTACCTAATATTATAATTATATTATTTTTAATTATGTTTTAATAAATTAACAAAAAGGACCGATAGAAATAAAATAGAAAAAGATGGTGGGAAGATCATGAAGATGATTTCCGAGGACTCGATTATTCATCATGTTGGTCCTTTCATGTTTTCTTGTCGGTCCTTTTGTTTTCTACACTTCCAAGCAAGGCTTTTTATCAAATATGAAAATACATGATGAGAAAAAATAAAAATGTAAGACAAGTTGCCTCAACAGTAACAAGTTGTCCCACATGAAGAACTAATTTTTCATAATACTTTTGAAACAAAAATCTATCATTAGATGAAATAGCCTTTGGAATTCAAGTTGTTTATTTTCAATCCTTTAAATGTTTGGGTTTGTTAGTCAAGTTTCGAATTCTACTAACATTTTAAAAAATCTCCCTTCTTTAATCTCCAAATTGTAAACTATTCAAAAAAATTCTTTTCTATCATCAAATGAGGATGTCTTTGTTATTTAGTGGTTATTTTGATTTTGTAAAGAATTTTTTATGCTTAATTTAGAAATATGAAGTTTTGAGTCCTACCCTCAATCTTAAAAAAAAAAAAAAAAATCTATCATTAGATAATTTAATATCAATTTATCCCCAAAAAAAAAAAATGGTAGCACCTTTTCGGCTTTTTCTAATTTCCCAAAATGGGAGCAGATGGCTGAGATGGGTTGGGCCTCCAAGGTCCAGTGGTCCAAATCAGATACCACATCTTTATAGGCTTATTCCCCACATATTGCGGACCATGAACTATTTCACAATATATGTCCGGTCCTGATTTTTCGTCCCACATATTGTACTTGAGAAATAAATGAATATATTTACATTAAAATAAAAAGAATTATAGGAAATTAATCTTTTTAATAATTAAAATGTTAATTATAATAATAATAAATTTAAATTTCCTTAATCAACATGTAAAAAAAATTCATTAAGAGCAAATAATTTCACAAACAGTTCAGGTATTTAATTCTAAGGACATCTTTCTTTTTTTCTTTTTTCTTTTTTCTTTTTGAGTTTAATCTTAAAACATTTTAATTTTTACTTTTCTCAAAATAAAAATAATAAATTCTAATTATATTTCTTTTGAATGAATTATCTTTTTACCATCTAAAAATGAAAGCAATTATATTGTGTTCTAGTGTTCTGTAAAAACGAATCTTTTGTGAGTTGTATTGTATAAGATTAAACATAATTTCCATGATATTTATGCTTAAATTGCAATTTTTTTATGCAAAATATGTCCACAGTATTTATTTTGTGAACTCAAACTTTATAACAAGTATGTCCACATAGTTGCTTCTAT